CTGGCCCTGCCAGTTGTGCTCAGCCCGTGGAAAATTCTTCCACCACCCTCGCTGAGGGAAAACCATTGTGCTTTTAGAGTGGATTTGATTTTCTTGAAACAGCTAAAAATCATTCTAAGCTAAATGGTTACTGGTGGGAAGACAAATAACACAGATTTCCCTCTATGATTTGTAACCATCTTAAAGGCAGGCGACTATTTTGAAAAACAAAATTTTTCTTTTTCAATTAGTCCCTTGAGGGGATTAAAAGTCTCATTATTATTTTTTTAAATATATTTTATTGATTTTTCACAGAGAGGAAGAGAGAGGGATAGAGAGTTAGAAACATCGATGAGAAATAATCATTAATCAGCTGCCTCTTGCATCCCCCCTCTCCCCCCTCTGGGGATGTGCCCACAACCAAGGTACATGCCCCTGACCAGAATCAAACCCGGGACCTTTGAGTCCACAGGCCGGTGCTCTATCCACTGAGCCAAACCGGTCTCGGCAAAAGTCTCATTATTTTAAAGACAATAATGTATACCATGGATTCCTACTAAAGTACATTTTTAGAAGAATTTAAATATATCTTTCCAAGAAATGAGTGTTGGTGCTGCTTTTTCCATGCAGGCCTGTCTTTTATAAGAAAAGGAGAATGGCCTGTTTGGTTTATTCTGCCGCTGAGTAAGGAGTTGTCCATACAGCCTGATGGAGCTCAGTCTCCACTCAATCCTGGGGTCTCAGAGCTGAGCCTTAAACCCAGAAACTGGGCCCTGTCTAGGAGACTGTTTGTCATGAGGCTTTCTGAAGAGACTTAAGATCTAGGAGGAACACGAGGCAGGAGATCAGCTCATTGTTTCTCAAAGAAGGTGTGGAGTCTAGTGCTCACACCAGGATAGCAAAGGGCCTTCCATCTGAGGACTCAGAGGGAGGGGCCAGGAGGTCACAGCAGCAGAAGCTCAGCTGTTTGGTCCTTTGGGTTCATGGTTGAATGGCCACTATTTCCCTGGAGAGGAATAGGAGAGCCAACGCCTCAGACCAACCCTGACTGAGGTGGGAGAGGCTCAAGAGAGGCCTCCCCACACCAGCCCAGCCAGTCCCTGGAGGTCAGGCCTCAGGTGCTCAGCAGCCCTGAGCTCCTTGCGCCCTGAAAAAGGCCTCTCCTAAAACTAAAAAAGAACTTTATCTTGGAGCAAAAAGGAAACACTCCCTTCCCTCTCCGCTCCCCGATCTCATAGGATATTTGCTGACTTTAATATTATCTGAGCACAAAGGGTCACTTCAGTTGGAACGAGTCTGAACTAATCTTTTTAAATATGGAACAAGGCCAGGCCAACCCTCACTTGGCCTGAGTGCTTGGCAACTCCATTAGTCCCTTGATCAACAGTATTCTGGAGCTGGAGGAATTCCAGCTAATAAATAGAGAAGGAATAAAATATTTTTTTTAGCCCTGCCCAGATGGCTCACTTAGTTGGAGAATCGTCCCATATACCTAAAGATTGTGGATTCGATCAGGGCACATACCTAGTTTGCTCTATTGATCCTCAGTTGGGATACATATGGGAGGCAACTGATTGATGTTTCTCTCTCACATTGATGTTTCTTTCTCTCTCCTTCTTTTCTCTCTCAAATCAATAAGCATATCTTCAGGTGAGGATTTAAAAAAAAAAAGAAAGAAAAATTTAAAAATCACTAATACTCCAAATTAAATAATGAATGTAGGTAATAATCATCAATGGATACTAAAATAATCCGATGAAAGGTTAACAGGGAACTTTGTGGGTTGACACTACCTACTGAAACCTACTGATCAATCTTGGCATCATTAAAAGTGAAACAATCAGCTAAAACCTGTTTGGCTCAGTGGATAGAGCATCGGCCTGCGGACTGAAAGGTCCCGGGCTCGATTCTGGTCAAGGGCATGTAAAATGGTTGCGGGCACAGACCCAGCAGAAGGCAGCTGGTCGATGTTTCTCTCTCATTGATGTTTCTAACTCTCTATCCCTCTCTCCTCCTCTCTGTAAAAAAAATCAAAAAAATAAATAAATATATATATATATGTATATATATATATATATATGTATTTTAAGTGAAACAATCAGACAGTATATGCCTGATAATAACAGCACCACTATGAAATATTGTGCCTAAACATACTGATCAACTCTAAGCAAGGCTCTAAAGATAACTACCAGTTTACAGGAAAGACAGAGGGTAGAGGAACACATTCTCTTACTCAACAAGAAAGCAATCAGACAATACAGAACAGACAATGCTCAGAACAAATACTGAATATATTTTTATTTGCTAAATCTAGCAGCCCTACACCCAAGCCAGAAGACTTGAAGCCATCCTGAATTCCTCCCTCTTTTTCCATTCTTGAATGCATTCCAAGTCTTGCTGATTCTTTTCTATACTTCTCATTCTGTCCTCCTTCTCTATCTCCATGTGACTTTCCTATTCGAGCCATTGCCCTCTATTTCTTAAAAGCTCCTTTAATTGGCTTCCACTTGGCCTTCCTGTTTCCAGCCTCATCCCTTTAATTCATGCACAACAGGTAAACTGTTCTTTCTAAAAGGCAAACCTGACCACAGCACTCCTCCACTTAAAATCCTTCCTTGGTTCCCCATGGCTTTCAGGATAAATTTGAGACTGATTTTAGCTGACAAAGCCCTTGATCATTAGATTTCTCTCTAGCTATAGTCCCATTCCTCTCAGGTTCTAACCCAAGGACCATTTGGATATTTATAACATCATTCTCAGGTTATACAAAATTATCAGCTTAAAAATTGGCCTGCTATATTCGGTCAAATGTTTAATTAACTCACTCTATAATTAACTCACCCTAATGCTTTGGCAGGACCAGACCAAATGATTTTGCAGGCCTTATGCGGCCTGTGGGCCAGATGTTCCCCTCCCCTGCTCTAACCCATCACACATGGCCCAGCCACATCAAGCTCTAGGAGCCCAAAAGAGTACCACACCATCCCTTTTGAAGGTGTATCTCTATTCTTGTTAATACCAGCAACCTCACACACATCCTACTCTTCTCATTTGCCTGGCTAAATCCTACTCTTTCTATTAAAAACAAACAAACAAAAAACAGTTTAAAGGTCACTTTCTCCAAGAAGTCTTCCTAACTTATCGTTTTAAGCTCATATTTTTGCTCCTTGGCACACTGTATTATAATATCAATAGTTGACTTATCTGTGTGTTTCCCCAACTACATCATTTTAAGTTCCTTCAGGGCAAGAACTGTGTCTTAGCTATATAAAGTCAGCAACTGATAGAGTAATCAGCACTAGTAAACAATAAGTGTTTATTAAACAAATGATGGTTCTTTAGCATAAAATGTTCCTACTCTCATCTCCTGCTGATCCAGCACGTCTTACTTGGATACTCCCCTCCATTTTCAGATGTGCACCTTCCTGCCTGTAGTATCTTTATCCTCACTGAAACTCTGGGCTTTGATTTCTATGGCTCAACCGTGATGAAAAAGCTTCTTGTCCACTCCATTACGCTACCACCGAACGGATGTAGAATAAAGAAATGACACCTTACCAAGTGAGGCCCTCGCCAGTTCCTCACCCAAGCTGAATTTCAGATCATGATACCAGTTGACATCGGGCAGCTGTTAGATGAGAGATTTTCGCCTGCCATCCCAACCCCCACGATTTGCCCCCAGCCCTTCCTCATCCCCTGGGGAACAACTTCTCTTTTGTTTTGGGCCAGTGTTTAGCAAGAGCAGGCACCATGCCTTGTTTGAGCTGTGATCTAACACCAGCTGACAGGTGGGTTTCAGGGGTGTCTCTGGGGCCGTGGCCTGTTTAGTGGATTGACCACTCTAAACTCAATTACAGGAGACTTTCACGCTCCATAAGCAATTCCAGGCCCTTTTTTGATAAAACTCTGGTGAGTAAATAAGTCATGATGATGAGAGGGGCTCTATTTAATATTCATTGAAGTACACATGTTTGGAAATTGGAAGCAGAGTTTAATCCATTTTCATATTTATAACAACATACAGTTTTAAAAGGGATTCCTCTTTTTCTCTAGCATTCTTGTCAATCTCTCCTTTGGAAAGCTAAAGGTAAACCAGACATACATTTTAAAATTAAAAATATCTAAAATTACAATTATTAAAGTCTGAGTTTGAGATGTTAATTTTCAACTCAGAACCAATTCTTGCATTTCCTTTGAACTCCTGGGACAGGTAGGTAACAGATAAGCCATCGCTATTTCTGATGGCTAGATTTTTGGATTTAACTTTGTAATTAAGAGCTCAGCGAAATGAAGAGATTCAGAAGATGCTAGTCTCAGCCCCAAGATCTTACAATTCAGGGGAATGTTTACTAGCCATTTCAAGTAAATGCCAAAGCGCCCCTTTTTAAATAAAGGTAAAATTCACAAAATAGCAAATGTTTATGCTCACCAAAAATTATAAGACTATTCATTGAGGGAGAGCTGAGATATGAGGAGAAAGAGTTAACACAGTGAAGGGTGTTGAGCACTGTTGTGTAGTGCCCTCCCCTCCACTTTTTTTTTTTTTTTTTTTTTGTGGGGATGAATGTTTAAATATGGTGCTATGGTTGAAGGCTTCTCTTTTAATAATGCAACACATGGCTTCCTAGGGGGGCAGCAGTTGATTTGGAAACTGAATATGCTGCACTCTAAATTCTCCTCCCCGAGGAAGGCTGACTAACTAAGTGCCATGAGCTAGCATGGAGACTCAATCTGTCAAATCAACTTGCTGGAAAAGCCCCATGCGGAATCCTCTCCAGTCTCCAGGAGCTAATGTGAGCAGACACTTGTGACATTAGACAGTGTAGCAGGCCTGGCATGAAGGAAAAGTTCACCATCCACCGACAAGGTGGTCTTTAGATAAAGAAATCAGTGCACATTTGTTAATGTAACAACTTGGAAAAGTACGCTTTAAAAAACAGCTGCTCTATGGGGAGAAAGGATCAAAAGAAAAAGAAGGCAGTAACAGTCCCTGGAAGCTTTCTTTGGCCTTTCTGTACCTTTGAGGCATTGCTTTTTCTACTGGTCCTTCTTCTAGGCTGGGGTATCTTCAGTTAAGTGAGTGAGTCCCAAACTTTGCCACTCCACAAGCCACCGCTCCTCCTAAAATTGAAAAGAGGGGTGGGGGGAATAAAAAGCAATGAAGAGGGAAAATTTTTTTTGCCTTATTGGGATAAATAACATCTTTCCTATTTCAGATGGGTGATCAACCGACTTTCTAAGTGAGAACTGTTATCTATCTGAAGGAAAACTGAAGTGATTATTACCTGGAAAGAGATGGGTGATAAGAGGATATTACTTCTGTGTCTGATACAAAATAGAAGTATATGTCTATAACAGGATAAAATATTTTAAGAATTAAACAGCATTCTAGGGGAAAATATAGTTATTAATATCAGATAAACAAATTTGATTGTGTTGAGTGTCTGACTCAGGTAGGTGGTTTTGCCAGTTATTTCCCCTCGGAGGGATGAATTTAATAAGGATAGAAATTTGCTATAGCATGCTTATTGCATATTTAATTTAGAAAATAATCTGATATATTTTTGAGTATGACATGCTGAATCAGCTCTTCCATGGCAGCTGTGAGAGCACAGGTTCTGGATAAAGATACCTGAATTTAGGTCCTGGTTCTGCCAGTCACTAGTTTGTGTTTGAAAAGTTGTTTAGGAAAAACATTTATCTTATAAGATTATTCTGAAAACACTTTTCTCCTGGGAGTTTCATAACATAAGTTAATATATGGGAATTTCTCAGGTCAATGTCTGTGATATACTAAGTGCTTCATAAATTTGGCCACAATTATTATTTAAATGAACCTAAATGGGTTCCCAGAGTTATTGATTTTAACAAAAAAACAAAAAACAAAAAAGGTTTCTGTGGTCAAATAAGCTTATGAATCAGGTTTAACACAATTAACCTTTTAAAAATATAGTATTTTCTAAATTAAATGTATATTATGACTATCCAAGGGAGAATTTACTTTCAAATATTTGACCATATAAACTTTTTTCATAACTGATGCTGTTCCCTATGTGAAAAAACAACAGTATACTAACCTGTGATTCAGAAGTTAAGAAATTTTTGAGTCATGGTAATTGGTTATCCTATCGGTCTCATAGGTCTCAAAGCACTCCCTTTTTAGAACAACATTTTGTAAAGTGGGATTGGTAGGAGGCAGAATCCGTATGTTAAAACACAGACCCTGGAGTTGGACAGACCTTTATTTCAATTTCCCAAACAAGCTATTTCATCTCTCTAAGCCACAGTGTCCCCAGCTATTGAAAAGACAGTAATAGTGATATTTACCCTCTAGGCTTGCTCTATAAATTAAATCAGGTAATGCCTGGCTCTTAGCTATGAATGATGTATTTAGTCCAACAGTGGGGCTAATATTTGTCAACAAATAATGAATTAGTTATTCTATTCTCAACTAATATCTGTACTCATTCAGAGCCCTTGGTCCCTCTAAGGTTACAGTAAAAAAACACACAAAAAAAACACTGGAATGGGAATAAGCATCTGTGGGTTTTAAAGTACCCTTTGTGCGTGATTAAGTAGTTAGTTGATGAACATTAGGACATGTTTACCAAGATTACCACACCCCTCTGTGCTTAGTTTTCTCTTCTGTGAAAACAACCATACAGCAGCACACCCTGCCTACTTATATCAGAGTAACTGTGAGAAACAGAAATACTTACATACATATGATTTTCTTAAACTATAAAGGCCTATAGCTTTTTCAGAAGTAATTTATTATATGTTTACTTAGTCTTACATATGATGCCTCATTTTAATCCTTACTATGAGGTGGTATTATTATACCTATTTAGAGATGAGGAGACTGAGGCTCAGGGAGTTTAAGTACTGCTAATTTCTCCCAAGGTCACCAGTCTTATAGAGCCAAGAATCAATTCCAGATCTGTCTGACTTGAAAGTGCTTAGAACCATTGTGCTTTAAAAAAATAATAACATTGCCCGTCGTGTGGCTCAGTGGTTGAATGTTGATTTATGAACCAGGAGGCCAGAGTTTGATTCCCAACCTGGTCACTTGCCTGGGTTGGAGGCTTGATCCCAGTATGGGGCATGCAGGAGGCAACCGATCAATGCTACTGTCTTATCATGAATGTTTCTATCTTTCTCTCCCTCCCTTTTCCTCTCTGAAAATAATTATAACATTAAAACACATTTTAAGTTAGAAATTAGTATTGGCCACATACAATTCATTATTTTGCAGTTCTACAGATACCTTTTTGATGTTGTAAATGAGTGAAGATGATGAGTGAAGATGAAGCATTGGGTAGGAAACAGAGTGGCCAATACAGAATCCAGTGTCTTAATTGGATGATTATTATAGACACTGGCTAATTTGATTAACTTTCCCTATGACTTAAGTATATTTGCCATAATTATCACAATGACTAGCATGTTTGAGGTCACAAACTCCAAAAAGTCCAGTCACCTGTGTTAAATGATCTCTACCTCCTGAGAGTTTCTGGATGACAAGTTGACATGCATGGCAAGTAGTTTCACGAATTGCAATAGAACAAGGTCTGTCAGAGAAGGAAAATCTATATTAATCATATGCTATAAAACACTTTTTGTTAGTTACATATATTCCTTTACTTTCATTTCCCAAGAATAGCTCAGCTGTCAAAGCATTTCCATGATTTCCATAGTTTCGTCAAATACTGTGCGATCGAATTATTGCTCTGAGAGAAGCTACAATTAAAACACTTTAATCACTGTAACAAAGGATCCTTATTGAAGCTGACAAAGATGGTGAAATCTGATGAATAATTGGTCAGGTTAATCTTTTAAAAAGTGAATTAAACTGCTAACAAGTTAAATCACTGTGATTTTCCATATAAGCCTCCAGGGTGAATAGAGAATGGGAATATTATCATCATTTAAAAAAATATTTGCTTTCTTTGTCTCCCCTTTTGACTTGCACTGGAGGCCCAGGGTTAGAATTAGGGTGACCCTGAGGACCAGCTGGCAGAATAAGGTTGGTCCAAGTGTGAGGACATGTTCTTCACTTTCCTCCTCAATGATCCCTCAGTATTTCTAAGGAAGGCATACAGTGGATAGATGAAGACCCAGAAGTAATATGGCACCCACTTATCAGCCACTCTCAATGACTTCAAGTGGGTCCATCATGTGGTTCTGATTTTGTCCCCACTCTAAGCCAACAATCCATGACAATGAAGTCACTCTGGTATAATTGCCCCTTATGCCCTTTTTCCAGTCAGATTGCTTATCCTTCCAGATCTCTCTCCTATTTGCATTTCAATGACTGTGGAAAATATACTATGCTCTGAAATAAACTGAGATTGGCAAATATGAACTGGAAATTCACTGCAAATGGACAGAAGAGGACTTTTGAGCTAAAGTCTTGACTTGGGATAGGCCTCCACAATTTTTGGGAGTTTCAGTGGATGCTGTGATGAATGGTCCAGACCCTCTCCAGGAAGAAAGGGGTTATTCCCCCAGCTGCTGGGAGTGGCGATAGATTTGGTCCTCAGCTGTTAGCCTTGAGTCAAGAAAACTGAACACATTCTCCAAGGTCATACTTTCTTGTAGGGGTAGCTGACGTCCAATTATGGAGCTGTAAAGACTGGCCTGTTGGCACAGTTCCCTGTAGTGTTGGCTAATGTCTTTGTTGGGATTGCAATACTGCCCACTTTCTTCACTGGAGTCTTGACCAATAAAAATTCTGTTAAGAGAATAGACAATACCCACAAAAATTAACTTGCCCTGAGATCTCCCCAGTCACTCTGGGCAATTTCCAAGTAACTTTAAACTCTTTAATCTCTTGGTGATGCTATTGCCTAGGCCATTGTGAGAAAAAGCCAAATTTACAATGCTCTTGCTATGAATCAGATCCCTATATCTATCTTCGGTTTCACCCTAGAAAACCTTAACAAAAGAAACAGACTAAAGTGGGCCTCAGAGAAAAGTGAAGTGGAATTGGCTCAGGATAAAGTTCTATTAACTCCCTTCCAATGCAAAAAGTCTATTGTGTGGACACTGTTCAATTTTTCTTTGACTTCCTGTTGGAATAAACAAGATTGAAGAAGGAAATATTTTGGCTAGGATTACTAAAGATCACTGAAATCTTTAGAGAAGTTACATCAGACTACTATGCATTTATATATGTGCTCTATTTTTAAAAATCTAAATGATAGATTTTTAAATATTATTTTGTTTGATAACATATTTATATGGCTTCAAAGTCAAATCTACAAAACAGTGTACATTAAAAGAATTCTAGGTATCTCCGATCTTCTCATTCTATTCCCTCCATCTCTCATAAGAAGCATTTTTTCTGTTTTTACTGACCACTCCTTTTTCTTAAAATGTTTTCCACTGCTAATTTTCTTTCTCTGGGTTCTCCTTCCTTAACCAATCACATAAATTTGCTATTCTTGGGGTTCCATCATTGGCCCTCATTTCTTCCCATTTTGCCTTCTCTCTCTGGGTGATCTCAATTACTGCTTCAATTTCCACTACAAGTCAAATGCCAACTTCTTATTTACTTAATTATTTATTTACCTATACCCCACTTTATTAAAAAATGAAGTTTAGATACCTCACTAAAATATAAATGGAAAAAATTAACTGAGAAAATCTAGACCAAGTGGGAGTAGGGGGTATAAGTAAGGTAAAACACAAAATTTGGCTCTAAGAGTTCTTAATTTTCAAAATTTCTTGAGCATCAGTCTTCTTTGTTAAAAATAAAATCTGCTAAGTGGCATACCAACATTTAAACTGATCCAGGTGAAGCAGTTCTGCTTGAAAGGGAAAGCAGAACCCTGTTCTTCTATTTCCTATCTATCCCTGCCTGCCCAGTAGCTTCTGAGGTTCAGCAGAACAACTTAAAAAAAAAAAAAAGTGATTTTGAGAGAAACCTATGAAAACAAAGGGTTTAAAAGCAAAGATAAGAAGTGGTTAGGGAATGCCAGGCAGAGGGAACAGTGAGACTTGTGGTGCAGAGGCCCATAAAGTCTAATTTGGCCAAAGCATTGGATAAGAGAAATATAACCTAGCAGTGGGTGATAGTTATTAGTATATGGTCAGCCAGGAGAGAAATACTGGAAAAAGATCCTATGGATGTCATGCTAAAGACTTAAAACAAGACTGCATTTTCCACTAAAGTTTTGCATCAGAAAGTAGTCCCCTAGAGTAATGTCTCCCATAGAGCAAAATTGATAATGCCACTCAGTGACAGAACTGTCCCTTTTGCAAGAAAGGAGATGTACTGCAGATGCTTTTTATGGGTTCTAAATCACTTTACACATTTCTTTGCAACCTTTTCTTTTTTTATTTTTTTTTACTTTTTTTTTTTATTAAGTAAGCAATACTATTTTACCCTGGCTCTGGCCCCTAAGCCTGATTGAGAAGTATGCAGATGAAAATTAATAAATAATCCAAAATATGCTCATAAAATTAGGCCAACCAGCCTCTTCAGGTTTTTTTTTTTTTGGGGGGGGGTCTTTCTTTTATCCTTGGCCTCAGCAGGGGGAAAGTAGGGGCCTCAGACTAGGGATAATTGGCTAGTCTTAAGGTGCTCAATACTATGGACAACCAAGTTCCATGTCTTAGTATTCAGAAAAAGTTGAATTCAGAAGGGCAAAAGTACCACTTTAAGATAGCCCAATTTTATTCTTCAAGGGTCCTCAATATTTGTAGAAAGAATTAGTTTTAGTTCTTTGAAAACATTGTTTTCTGTGCACGTGCATATGAACATGCACACCTGCACACATCAGTACACCAAGTGTCTAAATAAAGGGTATATCGGGCTTTCCTCTTCCTAGTGAGAGTTCAAAGAAAGGGAATCTTGATAGAAATGGTAGAAAGATTAGTCTTTGAAATTCACCATAAGATTCATTCCATTGTTTTGGTGTGGCAGATAGATATACTACATCAAGTCTTAACTCCTCTGCTGGGAGATGCAGCATGTTGCCAAGGCATCGCTGTCCATGGTACTGACATTACTGAGCATGGATGTTTCTCTTAACTCTGAGACACGGGTGAACTGAAATGAAGGTCCTTGTGAGTGCTTATGTCTAAATGCCCATAGTTGTACACTTTTTCTTTTATTTTCTTGTTTTGGCTATCAATACTTTTTACATGTTCACACTTTGTTTTATTCTTGAAGATTCATAACAAAAGTACATGGAATGTAATATGAGTTTTGATACATTGAGCAATTACAATTCTAAATAAGACAAGTCCATAAAATATGTTCCTCGTTGTGAGGACAGAAACTTCCATTTCACTAAACAGAAAGAACCACAACTATTGTTCTAATTTGGAGATTGACAGACTTGAAGACCATATATATATATATATATATATATATATATATATATTGTATATATATTAAAAAACACACAAATAAAACTCAACACAGTCAACTACCTCAATTCCCCTCTCCTTTTTACATTTTCTTATCTACATCATATAATCAGGATGGACAAAAGCATAAGTCAAAGATATGTGGGACAAGGTTAGGTGCTCTGCTGATTGAATGCCAGACACACGTTTCCTGAGGTGATCAAGAAATGTACTTTGAATCAACCACTCAGTGTTGTAGCTAAGAAATACAAACAGGGAGGAAAGAATTAAAAAGAAGCTACAGGAACTGCTGGTGGGAGACCTGATGTCCACAGCAAATGTTTAAAATCCAACTTATATAGTGGGAGGATGGCCTGAATATATATGGTCAGTACATTTAAATAGAAATTTGTAACTGTAAAGTTAGTATCTCTTGGACATCATGGAGCTCCTGAGCTTCAAGCCTTTGGATTCAGATCAGGACTTACACTATTAGCCTCCCACCCCCACCCCCATTCTTGGATCTTTAGATTTGAATTAGGGTTGGATCCTACAGTTCTCAGCTCTTCAGATTTGGACTAAAGTACACCATCAGTTTTCCTGGTTCTCTGTCTTGCATACAGTAGTTTGTTGGACTTCTTGGCCTCCATAGCCCTATGAACCAATTCCTATAATAAATCTCCTCATCTGTCTGTCTGTCTGACTATATATCTGGTTCTGATTCTCTAGAAAACCCTAATACAGTCATATTCTCAGTCAAGGTCTGATGAATGAGTACAAAGACTCTGACAAAGAACACATTTGGATGTGGAAATCTGATTCTTGAACAACCTGTGCCCAAAACTCTTTAAAATTCAAAGCAGTGTTGGAGAAATTTCCACTCTCTGCAGAATGCCAAATTTTGACATTTTTTCTCCTGACATTTTTTATTTTCTATTATCAGAAAGGGCAGAATTTCTTAAAAAAAAAAAAAAAAAGGAGAGAGAGAAGGAAAAGAAGGTATACAGAACATGAGTTTTAAGTGTTATTTTTGTTCTTGAAAAGACTTCCCATAGACTTTATAAGAAAGCTTTTTTTTTCCTTCAGAGATTTATTTTGATAGAATTATCCAAGCCTTGTCAGGGAGAACAAAATTTTGTGAGCCTACTATACGAGTAAATGCCAAATTATATGCTGTAAGTTTTTTGTTTTATTATCTCTGGGTCCAGTCAAA